TTCCGGCCGGCTCACTCATTGAAAACCGGCTCTAGAGCTTCTACCGCGCGCGCCGGCCGGCTTTGCATTCGCGCTCACTCGCTCGCGTGTTTAGCGCGATAGTGATAGACACGTACGTATGCGCGCGCCCGTATGTATTTTATAGCGCAGACGTCAGAACACGTGTACCGCTCGTTAGAGTATAGCGAGAGCGAGAGAGAGAGAGAGAGGGAGAGAGGGAGAGCCTCGGCGATCGCACGTCGCGTGTACATACGTTACACATACGGTATACGGTAACGATCGGCGGTTGCCGCTGTTCCATCCCTCGGCGACGGACATTCGGCGAGGTCCCTTCGATCCCGTGACACGGCAACTTTTTTTCTCGAGGTGGCGGATATTAAATCGTTAATAAGTCAATTTATGTTCGCACAGAGAGAGAGAGAGAGAGAGAGAGCGCGAGGGTGAACTGCCGAAAAGGTTGCTCGAGCGCGCCGGAAGTGGATATCCGGCAATTCCGAGGCACTGCGAGCACTTTGGGAATTGTTATACGTACACTCGCGTATACATTTCGTAAATTTTATATATATAGAGTGTTTCAAAGTTAAATGATCAATCTTTGTCAGTTTTACGAGTAGAAATAAGAAAAAAATGTTATGTAATCATAAGTCTCCAGAACCTGCATGTAGCATTTATTAATCTTTTTTTCACGATGCAAATCGATAGAGAGAAAAAGACGGGAGAGAAAATATGGATTCATCGATCGATGGATCGATCTTTCCGGCGTTCTTCTCAACAACTCGGCAACTTCCTCGCGCCTCCATCGCCGAAAGTTGTCGCGCGCGCGCGGACGTAATGTTTATAAAGCTTCGCCAGAGCTCTCTCTCTTCTCTCTCACTCATCCTGCGCGCAATCAACGAGCTATAATCCGTTCAGTTGCACGACAAAGTTTCAAACTCGTCGGGCGGCCGCCCACACGCGGCTGTCCGCGGCGACAGCGACTGCGGCGATGCCGGGGGATGGAGAGAAGGAAGGAGAGGGAAGGGGAGGGAGCGGGAGCGGGAGCGGAAACGCATACCGAGAGCAATTATGACGTGCATGGTAACGTTTAAACGGCGGCGACGCGCCAGCCGCGTTAAATACCGTCGAATATAACATTTCTGCCGACACGACACCCCTTCCCAACCCCTATCCCTCTACCCACGTTCCCTTCCCCCGTCGCGCGCGCATTGCGGCGCGTCATCGCGCGTAAATACTGACGTCACCGCGCGTCGTCGTTCGCGCGCCGCGGCCGCGGACGCTGCGATGTGCGAAAGATCGCTCCGCTTTATCGCGAGCGCGACGCGTAAAAATAGATGCGTTTTAATGCCTCTCGCCGTCGTCGTCGTCATTGTCGTCATTCTCGTTGTCGTCGGTAGCGCAACAGCAGAGCGGAAGACGTTTACGAGATTCAAATTAGGTAGAAAACTCGATTAACGATGCAGAATCGCCGCTCGTTGATCGTTCGTCGGCGTGATTATCGTGAAAATACGGAAACCAGTTTTACGCCATCCGGATGAGAAAGAGAGAGAGAGAGAGCCCGCGCGACGTTTCTTGTATATATCGTGATCGCGCTGGGCATATTTGACTTCGAAATAGCTCAATTTTTTCAATAATCGTCTTTTTTTAAATATATATTTGCTGAAATATATATATATATATCTTGAAAATATCGGAAATATATGGATGTGGCAGCATTCAAAGATAAACAGTCTAATGATTCTCAAAGAGAGTGTGTGTGTGCGCGCGCTTCAATATATTCCACCTTAACGAGCGTTCGTTTAGCTCATTTTTAAAAGTACGAATCTTGAAAAAAAGATAAAGAAAAAACGTAGAGGATAATGCCGGGAAAACGAACGCAAAACCAAATAATCTCAAGCGCTTCGACAAGCTCGCTCGCTCGCTCGCGCATCTCCGACGAAGCGGCGGACCTCATTTTTCGACATTCGCCTTTAACGAACGTTTCCCTTCGTATAGTACGTCCTCTCGAGTTGGTACGGCGCGCACGTAATGATGCCGCGCGATAAAACCGCGCGTCTCGGCGACGACGACGACGACGATGACGGGATCTCCGACTATCGTCGTCGTCGTCGTCGTCGTCGTCGTCGTCTTTCGATCGCGAGAGTTCGACTTTATTCCGCAGTTTTCCACACACCGCGTACACATACATTCACACACACATACATACATATATATATATATATATACGAAGAGAGCAAAGGGATGGCGGCATGTTCGATGCTCTCACCGTTGGCTCTCGTGTGCACGGTTCGTAGGGCATGTAACCGCGTAGGTGTAAGCATACGTACATACACATGCACGCGTGTTACATAGACGTTATATATACGTGTGCACGTGTGCAAGGCGTTTTCCACCTCGCGTACTTACACGCGCCTCTCTCCACGGGGACGAGAGAGGTAGTAGTATGTACATAAGCTACGCGGGCAGAGGCTAGGTACTATCTAGTATCTAGTAATACGGGGTACTAGGTACGTGCGCGCCGCGGACGCCAAATAGTGGTTCGCATATTCAGAGATAGCGACGTCGCTCAGCGCGATCGCCCCTGATTTAGGCCCTCGTTCCGTCCTACTCTCTCTTCCGCACATTCTCTCTCTCTCTCTCTCTCTCTCTCCCCCTCTCCCTCTCTCGCGCTCTCGCGAATCTCTCCTCCCTTCGTCACCCGACCGCGTTTCTCCCTCGGTCGTCGTTCCATCTTCCCTCGCGCGCTCGCACACAGACATATACACGTACACGGGCGTGTGTACGTACGTGTGAGTTCGCGCGCACGGGAAACACACACACACACACACGCGCGCGCGCGCGCGTATACGCGCGACACACACACACAGCGATGATAGGGTCCACGGATAACGTCCTCGATACGCCGCGCGGCAACGGCGGCACGACATCGAGGCGCTCCGAAAAGCGCTATCTCGCAGCACCTCGCTCGGAGCCTCGACTAATCAGCGCTTCGATCCGTGCTTTCGAGCGTCCTACTTTGATCATCGCCCGCTTCGCTCGTTCTCTCTGTGAGCGCGACGCTGTGTAACGACGTTGTACCGTGTATAAATCGGAGATCCGCGCGAGGAAATTCTCTCTCTCTCTCTCTCTTTCTCTCTCTCTGTCTCTCTGTCTCGCGAACGAATCGCGAGCGTGCGCGCGACCCTCGGCGACGAGATACGTCGATGAAGAGCCGCGATATATTTAGACGACGGATCGCGCGTCCATCTTTCGCTTCGACGAGCGCGCGTCGGAGTTTTCGTTCGAATCTATCCGCTTTAAAGTACGCCGATTTCGCCGCGTTTAACAATCTCGCGCCTTCGTTACTGCGCGCCATTTTCCGTCTCGCGCGCGCGACTTCACGTCTCTCCTCACCCGGGTCGAACGTTAAAAATCTCACCAACGCGGAACGAAATGGGTCAACGCGTTGACGAGAAGACTCGCACCCTTGAGAAAGCGATATAATTAATGTACAAATTCGCGAAAACGCACACAAACACGCGCGCCGGCGGACACGGCATTACGGCGAACTCAAAAAAACGAGGTAGATTTACGAGCGCGATGCGAAATTCCGAATTGACTCGGTATACACGGTAAAACTGTATAAGCAGCGGTAATTAAGCGGGAAAGGAAGCGGAAGAAAAAAAAAATGAGAGCGAAAAATCTCAAAATATATATCTCGAAATACATATAATTTCCATCAAGTAGCGTGGCTGTGTTAAAATCAACACCGCGGGCTCTATTTATCATCGCAAGCTGCTCACGTTTATTTACATACATATCCATATCATATAATAAATATCATATAATACATATATATATGTATAATACATACATATTGGTCCTTAAGCGAGCGCGTGCGTCCAATCTAAAAGTCCGTAAAATTGTAAATTACTGCTCTACGCTACTGCGACAATGAGCGCGAAGGAAAGCGCGAGCGCGGCCTCGCGTTGTTAAGTTGGTGGTTGAGAAACACTGAGCCAGCTGCCGCGGCGCGGTGGTATCTCCGCGTTGTCTGCTACCTCACACCCTCGTCTTGCGTCCCACGTGGATGCCGGTCGAAGGGGTCGCGCGGAATGAGGGTGACGCGCGGGGCCGTGGCAGCGCGGAGCGCGGCGCGGCGCGGCGCGGCCGGAGCGACGGGGAGATGAGAAGGGACTGTGGAAGGGGGGGCAGGGGGAGGCAGAGGGGAAGGACGGAATGACGGCGCGGCGAGGCGAGGCGTGGCGCGGCACGGGGAGAGACGGCCGAGGGCAACGTCGGCGATGAGGGAAGCGCGAAGGGGGACGAAGGGGAGGAGGTAGGTAGGTTGCTTCGGTATGGGTTGGGTCGGGTGGTCAGAGGGGGCGGAAGTGGGCGAAAGGGTCGAGGGATACCGCCGTTACCGTCGCCGCCACCCACTGACCATCTCTATACCCTACCTACCTACCTACCCTCGTCGTCGTCGTAGTCGTTGTCATCCAGGCATCTCTCTACTACGTGCCTACAAAAAAAAAAAAAAAAAAAAAAAAAAAAAAAAATTAAAAAAATTTTTGAAGAAAAAA